TTATTATTCAATTTATTGTAATATTTGTAATATCTATAATATTGATTATTTTCAATTTTTCATCGAAATCTTGAATTTCAGTTTTTTTTATAAACTTCAGACAAAAATGAACAGAAAAAGTTTCTAAATTGAAACGAAAAATTGACGAAATGAGGTAATTGTTGTGAAATTGTTTTTCTCCGAGTGCACTATCATTAATTATTGTTAAAAAATACGTACTAAACATACCTATCCCGTACATTCCGCGATTACGTGAATAAAACAATTGTTTAAATTTTAAAATCTAGGGCGATCGACCGAAAGAATAATTTTTGATTGTTTCATCAATAAATGTAAAATTTCCAAACTCAAATTTACCCCACGTCATTTTGATGATTTTCTATGATTTCTCAATGATGGAGTTTACGTACTCGAGATTTTATTGTCACGTGTACTCCACAATTTTCGGTGAATAATGATAATTTCAAGGGCTAATTATTTTTCAAACTTGAAATATTTCAGTTCAATGAAAAAATTGGTGTGATGAGGGGGTGGAGAGGTTGAGGGGGAGGTAATCATGCGTACTTGAAATAAGAGTATCACGCATGAATTCCTTGATTATCTAAATTTTCTCATCAAATCCAAATCAAACTCGTGAGAACAGAATTATTTGATTCAACAAATTTGTTTGGAAAAATGTGAAACGATGAATGGCCAGGATATTACTGCATAACTTTATCAATCACTGGCCGTTGGGAAGTGTTTGATAGAAATAACTACGGAATAAGGCAAGTACACCGGAAGTGCGCATCAAGTATCCGGTTAAATCGCGTGACTGATAATAATTTCGCAAGTAAAAAATGTAAATAAAAAAATAACAAATGATCCTTGACCTTTCCATGGGAATTCTTCAGGGCACTGTTTACGGCAATTAGTTCGTCAATTTTTATTGAATAAAACATCCCAACACGAATTTTAAAATCAAGTCGCATTTTACCGGATTCGACTGTACAAACTGGGAAACTGAAAAATTTACATTCCACTAATTTGCGTATATCTCGAGAAATATTGGGAGTGGGAAAAAATATAACGAACATTGTTTATAGATAATTAAATTCCCTAAAAAAAACATTTTATGACTTTTTCGTCTGAGTCCATTAATTCTCGAGGTATTCCAGATTTACTCCGAATTGGAAATTTACCGAAAAAATCAAAAATCGAAAATCTACCTCTCAATAATCTGCGTATATCTCTAAAAATATTGCACGTAGAAAAAAATGTCACAAGTACTTTATCCGGTGATTTCAATTTTCGAAAAAAAATGTCTTAAGACTTTTTAATCAGTGCCCCTCGGTTCTCATGATATTTACGATTTAGTCGGAACTAACAATTGAGAGAAGAACTTTCTCTCCCCGAATGATTGATTGTGAAATAGCCATGGAAAAATCGTTGGAAAATTAAAAAAAAATCATTGTTCCAAATTGAATCACTGACCTTTGACAATTTCTCCCCCTCGTGATGTGGCAGCAATGTTCTGAGCGATTGAAATCCAGCGTTGATACTCTGCATACGTCGTCTCTCGTTGCTGTTGGCGATTTCTCGCCTCATCCGTTTCTCCTGCTCCATATGTGTACGTTGTGTTACTCTACCACTGGTATCACCACTTGTACCACTGCCAAATGAATTATTCTGTCCACTTCCACGACTACCAACGTTTTTACCCGATCTAAGTGTCACTTTATCACACTCCTGAGTATCGTTATGCTCTTTAGTCTCGGTATCGGACAGTGGATCTTGCTCTTGGCTGTCAGTTACTTCCAGAAGTGTCACTGTTGCCAATCCACTCTCGTCCAACTCCTCAGTACTGCAAACAAACAATTTATCATAATTTTATTTATTAAACTCAATTACTCACATCACATCAATCGATAAATCAAAAAAAAATTTTCATTCGTGAAATTTATACTGCAATTAAATATTATTATTAAATTGTTTAGAAATTTATTTCTGCTCAATGCTATCTATAAAAATTAATTAATAGTTTAAATAGATAACTCAATAAATTAATTGGCGGAAAAGTGGGAAATTCAGCGAGTCTTCAATTAATTGAAGAATTTTCATATTTGATTTTCAATTTTGATAACTGAATGGGGGCGGGAGTGAAATGAGTATGGGGAACGTGGGGGTCAATCATCTCTTTTCTCCATTTTTTTTCCATCGACAATAAATATCTTTGAAAAAAAATACTGTAAACTGCGGCCCTTGATGGAGTATTGTCTCACCCCGTTGGATATTTGATTTACGACGTGGATAAACGAGAAAGCGTGTGGCCTGTCTGTCTCAATGAACTTGAAAGAGAAAAAAAAAA